CCTCGGATAAAAGCGGCCCGGATTGTGACGTCACGGCGCCCAAGTAAGAAAAGAAAAAAGCGCACAGAAAGACCTCGACTCCCAGAAATGCATGCGCAGAGACTCCAGGAAAGCTGGACAAGAAGACCCGACACTCTCCCCGCTCGCTCTCTTCCGCCTGCGCGTGCGTCCGGGTATGTGCGTGTGCATTGGTGTGCATGCAGACTCGATTGAAGATTCAAGAATGTGCTTGTGAATTTGCGTCCACGGATGTCTACGGCGGGGTGCGTCGTGCACGCCTGCGCCTGCGCCTGCTCTTGCTGCTGGATTGACCGCCCCTGACCCCCACGCGCACGCGCACGCCCTCCGACCCCAGTCGCCGGATAATAAACCCACACACACGCGATGTACGCCTACGCGTACGGTTGCTGCCCCGGCCGCACCCCGCCCGCGCCCGCGCCCGGTTGATGTGCGTGTTTGTGTCGGCGCTGCAGGCGGTGTCGGCACCGTAGATGCAGACAGAGGCGATCCGGACGCAGACAGCAACGGCGAATGCGATGCGTACGTACTACCGACCGGCGATGCGTACGCGCTACCGAACGACGACACCGGCCCCACGCGCGCGCGCTCACGAACAACGACACGGAGCTGGGCCGCTACGCGCGTTACCGGCGTCGGGGTGCCGCCAGGACGCTGCAGTCTAGAATCCGAGTCACCACCCGCCCCAGACGCTCCGCGTTTCCCCGTGGTCTGCAGCGTCCGCTTTGGGTTGCGCGTGGACGGTGCAGACGGCGCAGCGCCGCAGATTTGCGGCCGGCGTTACGCCAATGGCGTAACGCTGCTCCCCCTCCCGCGCACTACGCCCCCTCCTCCCCATCCGCGTCCTCGTCGACCTCCCCACCCGAAGTTATCGCCTCCCCGCGCCTCCTCCTCTTCCCCGCACTCCTTACGCCCTTCTTTGCTCCACTCGCCGCGCCTGCTCCACCATCCCGCGCCATCCCAGCCCCACCGAACCCCTTTATCGGTGAACGCGCCGCCCTGCCCACCGCGCCCTTTAAGCTCGGCATCCCACCGCCCTTCGCGCCCTTCGCCTTTGGCTTCACCACGCTCGCGAGCCCCGAGCCCAGCTCGCCCAGGCCGAGTCCGATGCCTGCGGTGAGCACCCCGTCCGCCTCGCCGCGGCAGCGCAGGTCGCCGTCGACGCTGATCTGGGTTTGGGTGGGCAGCTGGGGGTGTGTTAGTTTGGGATAACAGAAAGAGACAGAGAAGCGAAAACGGAGGAAGGTGAAGGTGAAGAGGGAGTGGATAGGATAACGCGAGCGCGCGGGGGCGGAGACACGAAATGGACGGGGTGTGGAGCGAGAAGAACAGAAAAAGAGGAAGGATGGACGAGCGCGCGCGCCGGGAGAAAGGAGGGAGGGCGGTACAAGGGCGAAATGGGGGGGAAAGGCGCACGCGCAAACCCAAACTCCAACACGGGCCATGTGAAGCGGAGGGCGGAGAACAGGCCGAAAAGGGGGGTAGGAGAGAAAAAGGGACGAAGGGCGGGCGAGCGCCAGTGCGTGTGATCCGGGGGGCGAGAATAGGAGGACGAGCGGGCGCCGGAAGGGAGGAAAGAGCGAAGCGAAAGGGTGGCCGGGCGCGCTCGATGAGAGGGAGGAGGACGGTACAAACGGAAGGAGAGAAAGGGGGGAGGGCGCGCGCGCATGCTGTCCAAAAGACGGGCGAAACGATGCGAAGCGGACGGGGTGGGGGCTGAAGGGTTGTGCGGGGGGTGCCAGAAAGGGGGAACGGACGCGACGACAGAGGTTGAACGAGCAGGAAGGAGTGACGAGTGGGAGCCGAGGAAGAAGGGACGGGATATGGTGTACAGTATATAGGCAGGAAGACGAGGAATCGGCACCGGGGAAATAATTTAGTTGTGTACAGGCCGCGTGGAAGCGCACATGGAGAGCGGGGCGGAAGGAAGAGGGCGCTGTGGAAGAGATGTGATGTAGTGTGGATAAAGAAAGAGACAGAGGAAGGCGCGAAGAGAAGGGAAGAGAGGAGCAGGAGCGGTGTGGGGAGGCGGACGAGGATAAGATGACGACGAAGAAGATGAAGACAAAGACGGGACGGAGATGAAGATAAAAGGAGCGGTGAGGCGGGAGACAAATATGAGATGGACAGGCAGATGACTCGGATGTGGGATACGGTGGTGGCAGACTGAGCGTGGAAGTGTGAGAAGAGGGAGGGTGGTAGAGGCGAGAGAAGAACGCGAGGCGGTGCGGACGGAGGGAGGGAGGAGGGGCGGTACGGCACTGACAGACAGGGAGGGAAGGAACGAAGGCAGTAGGCCCGGGAGGAATGAGGGCGCACTAGCACGCCCAAGCCTAAAGAGCTGTGCGACGCGCCATAGAGGGAAGTGGAGGGCAGCGGAGGAGAAGCGGAAAAGATGAGAGGAGAATAAGAGCGGGAGATAGCGAAGGCGAGCCATCGCGCCGGATACACGAAGGAATAAAACGAATTTATTCGAAAATTTGCGCGTCGCCCGTGGTCGCGATCCACCCGCTCCACGGTGGCTCCATCCACGCGGGCGTCGACATGCCAAAGGCGGTGCGTGCTGCTCCGACAACTTGGTTAGGCGCAGAATAGAATAGAGTTTGATTCCTCAGTCAGTCAAGATTGCCACAACTCCGATTCTGCCTCCGACTTGCAGTGTCAAGTGTGGGTTATCCTCTCCTAGTAGTAACAATGGTAGTAGTGGTATTCCGGCCAGTGTCCCAGATCGACTGTCCTGGTTCCGGTCGGCGCCATCGTAGAGGGTGCCAAGCGCAGGAAGAGAATTCGAAGCTGGCGGGATTATGTCAGCTCCGCCGACTTGTTCCCCATCGGCGTACTTGCATTTGCTAATACTATCTGCTTGCATTACTTGCGGGCTTCGCTGCTCGGACTGGAATACGCTATCGGCTTCTAATTGCACGTATCCCTGCGCTCCAACTCGGCTAAGTGTGGCTGTCCCTCAGCCTTTCCCCCAAACCCCAAATATTCACGCACCAACCCGAGTTCCGAATTATATGCACAAGGACCTAATAGCGAAATTGGTATCGCATCCACTACCGTTGAGAAAGAACCCGTGGAAGGCCCTCGTTCGAATTGAGGTTAGGTCATGGGCCATTTACTTGCTCCAAAGTTTTTTTTTTGGCTCAGCATAAAAATAAATTCGTACCAAGTGAAGGTTCAGAAGTATAAGAACAAGACCTAATAGCGAAATTAGCATCGCGTCCACTGCACTTAACCTGGTACCAGGAGTCAAAGTGGAAGTCCCTCGTTCGAACTGAGGTTAGGTCCTTCGGCCTTTGCAATTGTCCTTTTTTCTCAATTTTTCATTCAAACCCACACCAAGACCGTGAAATAATTTCGCACTACTTTAGGTTCAATTAGTACCTAATAGCGAAATTGGTATCGCGTCCACTCTGATTAGGCCGTAGAAGATCGTCTGCAATATGTGGAAGTCCCTGGTTCGAACCGAGGTTAGGTCCTATTGTAGCCACCGACTTTTTTTTATCATCCTACCAAGTGCGGGAAAAAATGCAGCAGTATACCAGGTGCAAGACCTAATAGCAAAATCGGTATCGCATCCACACTTGTTAAGACAGCGGATACGGCGTTGTTAAGTGGAAGGCCCTCGTTTGAACCGAGGTTAGGTCCTTTCGCCTTTGCTACCGTTCTTTTTTATCAAATTTCTATTCGAATCCACACAAAGACCGTGAAATAATTCCACACTATTTTAGGTTTGATTAGTGGGTAGGAAGACCTAATAGCGAAATTGGCATCGCGTCCGTGGCCGGTTCAAAGTTTTTCAACACATTGTGTGGAAGTCCCTCGTTCGACCCGAGGTTAAGTCTTATGTCACTCCCACCGCTCTTTTTTTTTCCAACCCACCAAGAGGCCCAAAACAATCACACACCAAGCAAGGCAGAATTATACCAGGAAGACCTAATAATGAAATCGGTATCGCGTCCATTTCCCTTAAGAAGTTTCAAATGGGAGTCCGTGGAAGTCCGTCGTTCAAACCGAGGGTGGATTATCTGTCCCAATTGTCCTTTTTTTTCCTGTTCCTCATAATTTTTCAGTATGCAAGGATTACAGCTAATGTCAGTACCGAAGGCATGGTGATAAAAATTACTGTTTTGGGAACATTTTGATCTTATTCAAAGAATTATTCATAATCCAACGAGTTCTGCATATATTGGCCTAGAAACTGGATAGAATTAACGGCCTCATTCGTACGCAATTAGTGATAGAGCTAAACTAGAAAAAAAATTGTATCTTCAAGTGTCTTGAGGAATTGGGGCTTCTGAGCAAGAATCTGGGCTGGCATGCCCAAATCACATCAAATTTTAGGAGGGACTGTTTAGGACTACCCTCGTCAATATTATAGAGCTAGAATGGCTCATTTGGCGCAGAGCTCAGGTAGATAAGGGCATTTCATCCCATTTGATTTGAATTTGGTTGCAATGGGCTACGAAGCTTAGGAGAAAGACTATATGCAGTTCTGGCTCTATGACATTAACTGCAGTAGTTACAAACAGTCCCTCCCAAAATTCCAGCTCGTTTGGATGTGATTTGGGCATGCCAGCCCAGATTCTTGCTTGGAAGTCCCATTTTCTCAAGGCACCTAAATATAGAATTTCTTTTCTAGTTTAGCTCTATTACTAATTGCATACGAAATAGGCCATTAATTATATCTAGTTTCTAGGTCAATACATGCAGAACTCATTGGGTTATGAGCAATTCTTTGAATAAGATCAAAATCTTCCCAAAACAGTAATTGTTTCCGCCGCGCCTTCGGTTTAGCTGTAAATGAAGGTAGAATGGACCAAATGGCGAGATTGGTATTGCATCCACTGCAATCTGAAATCACTGGAAGTCACTCGTTCGAACCAAGGTTAGGTCATTACCCCTTCCGCTTGGTCCCCCCCCCCCACAAACAGCCCAAAAAACCACACATCTATTCAAGGGCAGGTGAAGGGTAGGAAGACCTAATAGTGAAATTGGTATCGCATCTACTCCCCATTCCATTGCGCATTGTGCGGAAGGTGGAGTCCCTCGTTCGAATCGGGGCCAGGTCATGCATCTTTTGTTCAAGTGTTTTATCCGCAAAACGTGCATAATTGTTGGTAGGTTTTTTTTAAATTTACCCCCCAAGGTTCGAAAGAAAATAAACCACTAAGGAAGGGTTGAATGAAGGGTAGGAAGACCTAATATTATACATCGCATCCACTGCACCTGGTTGAACCAGCTTGTATCATTTCGGTGGAAGTCCCTCGTTCAAACTGAGGTTAGGTCATATGGCTGTTTGTCATCGAAAAAACATCGATATCTTTTCTTTCTTTTTCTTCACCTTATCCAAAAGCCCGAAACAATCCCAAACCTATCCAAAGGGCGAAACCGGCATCGCATCTTCCGAAGTATCACTATGATTATGTGGAAGACCCATATTCGTTCCCACCTCAAGTACTGGTAGGTCCTGCCAATCCGCGACGTTTTTATTCAACCTACAGCCAAAAGTGCAAAGTGATCCCACACCTATCCGAGGGCAATTAAATGGGAGGAAGCACCTAGTGGCGAAAATGGCATCGCATCCACCTCATTTGGCTTGGTGTGCAAGCTTTGTAGTGGAAGTCCCTCGTTTGACCCGAGGTTAGGTGCTTCATGTTCTTTTTATTCAACCCACACAAAAGCCGAAATAATTTCGCAGTAACCCAAGCTCCAAATTACAGTAATAAGACCTAATAGCGAAATTGGTATCGCATCCTGCCATTGAAAATAATCCAAGGGTTTCTGTGGAGGTCCCTCGTTCGAATCGAGGTGAGGTCATGGCCCAAATTGTCTTTTTTTCCCCCCCCACACAAAAATAGCACCGCCCTCCGGGCATACCTGGTTCCTCCAGGTTACTGCTATATCCCGATATGCATTTTCTACTGTGTCTGACCTCCGGGAGGTAAATCCATAATTTGCAGTGACCGTAGGTGAGTTCCACTGGCCAGTAGTGGACGCTACCAGGTCGAAGTTCTGATTGAATATCTCCAGGGAGGAATCACTAATATAATTCTATTGAGATCAAGTGCAGTGACCGCAAGATGTTGAAAAAATCTAAAGTTGCGTGCGCAAACTACGAGTTTTTTTTTTCTTTTTCAGCATCTGGAACATAATATTATCCCGAGGATGCCGATAGTGGTTGGTAACTCATCTTATTCAACACTCCAGATTTAAGCCTCAAGTTGAACTCAAATTCTACTTCAACTGTAATTTGATCGCATCAAAAGAGCCATTAATTCTTCGGCAGGCTTCCGGGTAGCTTCAAGAAGCAATCCAAACCTCAGTTTGAGCCAGAAATGTAGCTAGAGACACTAAGAACCTATTATATGCCCAAGGGGAAGATATCTTTGATGTCGGAAAAAAAAAGTTCGCATGGACAAAAAAAAGTTCGCAGTTTTGATTTTTGCAACGTCTGGAACGTCATACGAAACCGTGTCCGGACACCAGCCAAAAGGCATCTGTGCCCCTCGCTCCCGGCATTGAATCTGCTAGCCTCCGGCGCCGGATTGTCAAAACCGTGTCCGGATCGGTATCTAGGCTCTCGGGTTATTATTAGGGTCCTCAGGCTGTCGCTGGCGGTTTAGTGGCTATAGGGACTGCACCCAGGTGTACGGCACTTAGCAGATATCAACCTCATCTGGAAACACGTCTTGAGGTGATGGACACCAGCCATGTGTCCATCCACCATCCCCGACTCCCCGTCGGGTCAAGGTCTTGCTGGTTTCTCTGCTCATACTCGGATGTTTCTCTGCCTTGACCAGCATATACGATACCTGCTTCTGTACTGCGCACAAACTCGGGCCCAACTACCACGGCGTGGCTGTTTAGGTAACAAATAATGTCCCATCCCAGACTTTTTTTGCTCTCTACAACAACAATTCCAAACCAATCTGAGTGCAGATTAAGGGCAAGCAGACCCAATAGCGAAAATGATATCGCATTCAAGGCACTTGAACAAGTGAATAAGTGGGCGGAAGTCCCTTGTTCGAATCGGGGCTAGATTCTTCAGCTGCCCAACTTGAGAGCTTTTTTTTTCCCCCCACACAACAGCCGAACCAATCACACAGCTAGCCAAGGGCAAATAAAGGGTAGGAAGACCTGATAGCAAAACTCAGCATCGCATCCAGAAAGCCTGATAGTGACTCGAATTTTATGAATCACCCATGTTGACCTCGCACAAAATTGAACTCAGTTAGCCGCGGGAGTTGTTTGACTTGTTCGTTGCAGTCGAAAAATTGGGAGGCAAACCCGAGCCCGATTATTTGAGGGAAGAGTTACTACTAGTCAAGATGAATTCTTCTCATTGGAATGAGATGTGGGCGGAAGTTCCCCGTTCGATTCGGGGGTGGGTCATGTTCGCCTTTTTTTTTTTTTTTTTGGTTCGTAATTGGTATAAATATAAAAAATTGTGATAGTAGATGAGGACAAACCTAAAGGAGAGGCGCCTGGGAGTGAAATTTGAATCGCTTTGAGCTTGGAAAATGGTAAATAAATTGTCGTACAGTAGTCGACGAATGGCGATCGCGAGGCAAACCTTTGACTCCGGTGGCATTGAGCTGATACGTAACTCGCATATAAGATGCAGATACGCTTCAAGCGCTACCAAGCCTTACTTCCTTCCTTCTGCGACTGGGTATTCACTTTCATTTCGAGCGGAGGACGCATCGAGCGGCTTTAAAGTTCGATGATGGCGAATAGGGTAGAGATGCGCTGCCAGGGCTACCATTCTAACTTGCGAGTTCGTGAAGCACGCACGCACACGCCTCTGCCCCTGCCCCTCTACATTGTGATGATATTGGACGCGAACATTGTGTGTGTATTTGGGGCATCCGATCGGACAGAAAGCGGGAAGAGGACTCTATAGTTTTGCCACTAAGTCTTTCCTCAAATATTCCCGCCCGTTCGACTCGGGCCAAGCCATATGAGTACTATTTCATATATATATATTGCTATTTTTGACTCATCCACAATCCTCTGAACAATTTGAAGTCAACTTACCAGGGGAAGAAAATAGGAAGGAAGGCTTTGTAGGGCTTGGCGTGCATTTACATTCTTACATGGTCCATCCAATAGAAAGCAGATCCCCGTCCTTTCGACTCGGGCTTGAGCTATTTTCGAACTGCCCTGCGTCGTTTTTTGACACCAGCCAAAGGAAAATAGCACCCCCTCCCTTCAATCAATATACACATTCTCCTCGTCCTCGGGTCATATTGGATATATGGGGTACACCTTCACCCAACCCAAGCAAGGTCATCATCATCTTGTTCACTTTCCCAGTCTTGCAATGCTGAAAATCCAAAATTTTAAATCAGTATACCCAAGGTACAGAAAGGGGGATTAAGGCTTGGTAGCGCTCGGAGTGCATTTGCATCTACTGTTGGTGCTATGACTGACAGTAAAGCTGTTGCAGACCCGCCTGTTCGACTCGGGCCTGAGCCATGCATTGCGATTGTATGACAGCTTTCTTTCTTTCTTTCCCAGAAGGAAAACCGGCGGCAGTTTTTCTGATTCAGGAAGTGTAAAAACATTAACACAAAATTGACTCTCACCCTCGGCTGCATCCAGATGTCTGTGTATTTTTCTGAGTCTGTACACACATTAATTATCCTACTTTGGTTGAAATGTCACCTCACAAAATCAGTTCAATGTACCCAAGCCCAAAAAGAAGGGAAGTAAGGCTTGGTAGCACGCGGTGCACACCCGCGTCCTATTCAATGATATCCGTGAATGTGCCGCAGAATCACCCGTTCGACTCAGACCCAAGCCATGAAGGCCTCTTGCGCGATTTTTTCTTCATTTTCACTCATCATTGATTCGGACAATTCAACTGGACTAGTACCTACCCAAGGACAGAAACAGGTATGTGGTGCGCATCTGCATCCCATCCACATCCACATATGATGACCGGCACAGACCTGTCCGTTCGACTCGGGCCCAAGCCATGTGCAAATCCTGCCGAGATTTTTTTTCCCAGCCCAAACTCGAGCCCATCTCAAGCATCCAACCTCAATTCAAACAGTTCACTTGGCAAGTCAAGTCAGATGTATGGCACATATACTGTCCAATAGTTATTTCACACACAACTGGAGCTGTTTCCGGGGTTTTGAACTACATCTGGGTGACTTCTTCACCACTTATTTCTCCACCAGAGGAGCATTAAAATGTGGACCACAAAGTGGTAGTTGGAACTGAAATTCACTGCTCTTTTTGAGCCCCTGCCTGAATTTCAACAGGTGATGCAGCTTCTCGAAAAGGCGCGGACGGCGGCGCAGCGCGAGCACGGCAGTGAATGATAGAAGCTCATGCAGCCACGAGGTGTTTGTGGAAAGGGTGCGGGGATGCAGGCTGCAAACTCAGCTACAGATACTGTATGGTTCTTTTTTTGCCAAACTACCCGACTTTCACTTCCCTTCAGCGGGTCTCCAATGCTCTGGATATTAACACCTGTTAATAAGTTTGAAGTAGATCTCGCCTGTTTACTTTTTCTCAGATTCTCCTACTCCACCTGTGCGTAGGCGCAGTTCTTGTCAGAATGCAATTGCCTGAGGCCATGGATGTGGGACTCAGCTTTGCTGGCAATCTTGGCACACATCGAGTGCAGCATCACTCATTGCCATTTTTTCAGCTCCCCAGGGTCCAGCATGCCCATATTTCTCAGTTTACAATAGACTCATCTCTCAGTACTTTCCGTTAATTTTCAATAGAGCATATTTGCAAGCCCTCCCAGATTTCCCCCATCACATCCAGTATTTACACGAGAAAATTGATTGATGTGATATTGATGTGACTTTACTCCACCGCACTGCTGCTACTGCGAGTCAATGAACACCGAGATTAAATTTTACAGCCTACAGAAGTAATTGATAAATACACCCGCAACTATCCCATTTTTTCCCGAGGACTGAGAGGTGTGGATTAGGTGAAGTGGGACATAATTTCTCGGCGTGGGACATCCTTGTCACGCGTTGACTCCTTTGGGCGGCCCCAAATTTGCCGCATCAGCAATCATATTTTCCATCAAACGGGCATT